CCCCAAAACCCCAAAACCCCAAAACCCCAAAACCCCACTATAAAAGTACGAGACTGATGTAATTAATTAAAACAATTTTTAAAATGTCATCCAAATGTATCCAGAAAAAGATCGTAATTAACCTGACCAAAAAAGGAAAGGGAGCCTCTGTATTCGACAAGGAGATGCAGAAGTTTTTCAAGTCGAGAAATTTGAGAAAAAACTCAACGATGAAGTTTTCAGACCTGACCCATCATTCCAATTACAACTCGATTCTTAAGATGGTAAGTTGCCCATTCTTGAACTTTGGAACTAACTTTAGACAAGATTTCCCACCAGATTCTTAAAATCTACTGTTTTTGAAAATTCTTGTATTGATACTTGGAAAAATAAGATTGGAGAATTTCATAACTAACTTTATCATATAGGTTAAAAAGCATAACTCCAAAAATATTAGGAATCAGAGACTCAGAAGGAACCTCAAGAGATGTACTTCCGTAGAAATTCCTGAAACCGACATTCACATAAGGATTGCCACTGATTTTTCAAATATTAATGGCTTAGAAAGCATCAAGGGAAAGAATGTTTTTGCCCTTGGAAAACTCAAGCTTGCCTCAAATATCTTAAACAGCAGCTCTTGTGAGAGACATTCTGAATCTAAAGTTTCTCCTCTGGGTTGCACTATCGACTCCATTGGAAGGGATCTAAAACTTTTCAAAAATACTGGTATTCAAAAAGTGAATCGGATATTGATAAACCCAAAACAGCACGACCAGCCTCAGAAATTATGAAGAAGGAGAATCAATATGAAAAGAGGTTTGACTTACTTTTCTGGTAATAGTTATGAAAGCTTTGCTGCTTATCCAGAAAGCTCGTTACAACTTCAAGGAAGAAACGTCAGAAGAGCTGAAACCTCTAATTCTGTCCTTAGAGGTCAGACGTTTTATAACTCAAGTATGACTTCAGATAATTATGAAACCGCTGAGTCTTCAGAAGATACAAAGGACTGTAACTTTGTATCTAGCTGCTCCAGTGTCGAGTCTTTGGAGCATATCATGCTACCAAGGATAGTCTCCTAAACTATATCATAAATGTACCCAAAGTGCATTATTTAATAATTCCTTCAAAATTGCAATTTGAGTCCAAGGATTTCGGTTTCAACTTTAAATATTCACCGAGGGGTTTTGGGGTTTTGGGGTTTTGGGGTTTTGGGG